GATCGGGCCGAAAACGCTATAAGATTAGAATAGTGTACAACAGCCTTAATGTGCACTGAGTGCGCACCAGTGCAACCAGTGAAATACGCTATGATATGACGTAAAGTGAGTTCGTAAGTGAATAATTGAAATCTATTTCCTACATTTTACTCTCTTGTTGCTTACGGATTTATTTTATGTCCTATTATATCGGAAAATCAGCTTACTGCCGATGTATCTTACTGCCTTACCACTATTATTACTGCTATTACTACTGCTATTGCTCATTGTAGCTGGACCTTTACAGTAACCTTAAGACGTGAACTTAAGCCGATGAGCCAATCAGGATATTGCTTTAGATTACGTAATCTAACGGAAATGGAAATAACAGTCAACTTATCCATAACCTCGCATTAAGGCGAATTTCAACCGGTTGAAACTCGCCTTATGGATTGTGTGATAAAGTCACTAGATTGATAAAGTACCGCAAACTCGCATCCATTTAGTCGCAAAACGCGGCCATTTCAAATTCACGCATTTGTATATACGTACTTTATTTGTGAAAATGAAGCCGTCGAGTATGTAAATAATGTTGAATTGTAATTAGTTTATTTATGACCAAAGAATATGTAGGAATGCTTAATTTATATGTTCTTTAGTTTAATATGGATTTATTTGTTGTAGAAGTTTTGTGCGTAAAAGTGCACGAAGGGTACGTGTAAGTACAGTTCGGAACTGTTCAGGAACACAAAAGTACACGTCGCCAATTGACCTCATGTGTACGTTGGTGCAGTTTGAATCCTGTACTACGTGCACTTCGGCCATATTGTCGCAACATTTCTGAAAGAGTTTGCGGTACTTTATCAATCTAGTGACTTTATTGCGTGAGAGTGGCGTCGCGACAGACTGTTTAGAGGTTGTGACTGTTTAGAGGTGACTGTGTATTACACTATTTCGTTCTCGTTACTCACCGCATTAGCGGCATTTTCGATTCTGGCTGTATCGACGCTGTATTAGCGTCGGGGCCATTCATACAAGAAGAAGAAGACCGACCACATTGGAACCTGGGCCATTCGAAGAAGAAGAAGATCTTATCACCTCATCATCTTACCAAGATGCATAATCAAGTAATGTAAGTATATTTTTCTCAGTCATGGAAAAAATGGCTACCGC